CTTTGGTCTTCCTCTTGCTTCTAACTTAGTGTTACCATTTATGTAGTGAAATAAAGTGACTATGGCAACTTGTGTAATGAAGCAAAGTATTTGCAATACTTGGAATCCAAACTTCTAACAATTCTGTGTATAATCACTTTGCTACTTGAAAGCCCACTTCTTGTCTCCCATACTTCAGGAAATTAGTCTGGAGAAATATGGGTTCCAAACCTCCAATCCTTGGCTCAGTGACTTTAGTGGGAGTTTAGCCTAACCAGATTGTAGGAACAGGTCCTAGATATTTATACCTCACATAGAACAGCAGAGTGTAGAATTAAGAAAGATGCTAGAGGACATCTTCCTTAACCTTCCTAATTTCAATTGATCACTACTGATTACTGTGAATAAAAAACATGTGTATGAATATGTTCTTTCTTGACCTGTTTTGCAGGAGTGACAAATGCTTTTGTCCATATCTTACTAAGGCCAACTTCCCCATTCATCAAAAGAAAGCCTTTAAGGTATTGTTTCAAATTGATCTTGATCTCTTCCGCCCCCCCGTTCATATTATGAAATAGTAGACTTCAGAGAGAAATGGCAGTTAAGCCTCAAAATGTCTATCATTTGTGCTCATGAGACAACAAAAATCCCTAGGTACTCACTAAGTTCTAGTGCTAGAGCTTTTTTGTATGAGTTCCTCTCTTTAGAAGTTCTGATAAAATAAGCCTAGAAAATGCTGGAGAATTTCCCCCCTGAAAACATTTTGTTTATGATAAAAACCCAACAATAAATTGCTATTTTAAAATCTATGGTATAAGATAAGGTCTATACACAGTATTACTGAATCTTGATTTTCAAAACCTCTGACTATGTCCTTTTACTACTACCAAATAAATATTACTTCTGTCTTTTGTGAGTAAAACTGGCATGACAGTTGAATGCTATTTTATTTAAATGTGATTAATTCAGTTGAAGTAATATACCGAAGTGCAACACCTGAATTTTAAAGCCAAGAAAGCAACATCTGAATTCTAAAACCAGATAAAAGTGATATCAGTCATTGATGTACAGTAGCAGATGGAAGGTAATAATATGGTACCAGGGGAACTGAGTGAAAAATTACAGGCATGCCTAAGTGCTTTTATATACCCAACTTAAACAGGTGATTCTCCATTTAATAAGTGAAATATAGCTTTTTCAACTACAACATCACTCGTCATAGCTAAAATCAGTAAGAGAAACAGTGAGTGTAATTGGCGAAGAATGAAAATGATCCAAATGAAAAATATTTTATTGCCTACTTTGTTTACTAATTTTATATAATGATACCAGTTATTGCTTCCCTATTTCAACTACAGACCTCAGCTGCATTGCAATAAGTAATAAATTACCAAACTGTCTCCTGTTAGCCAAATAATTCCGTAATAGCAATCATAAGATATTTCTCAAAAAAGTTATTAAAATGTATCTCAGTATGAGGGGAAATAGTTTTATTATCTTGACAAAGAAGTATTTGTTTCTTTGTAATGTTGTCTAATGGATGCGTGTACCAGAAAAGTTGTCTTTATAATATTGTCTTCCAGACTAAACACGTTGGGGTTTTTTGGATATGACATTGCTACAGGTTTTTTTATTGTACAGGTTCTTTCTGTAGTGTCTGGCAGTAAACTGCACCTATTTTTCTCTTTGTGATTCTTTGTGACTATTTGATATTTGGTCAACTTCATACCATACAACCACCAAGTATAGTGGATTGCCTAGGACAGTTTGAGAGTATTGGGAATATCACATGAAAATGTCAATACTCTGAGTTCTAGATGGAGTTAAAAGGGTTTCCACAACAATGTCATTTAGAAACAGTTTAGTACTTTTCCAGTTTGGGTTTTGGGAAGCAGCATATTTTACCCGAAGTGGGACTCCTATTCCTAAAAGTAGGTAGCAGAAACCAAGAAAAGCTGCTTCTTTTTTTTTCTTTCAAAATGAGTCTGATACAACTGTGTTGGGAATAGAGCATGAACTTGTTAGAAAGCTCAATTCTATTGTGAACAGCCTGTTGCAACTGTCTGGCCATGATCCTGTAAACACACATCTGCTTGTCCTTAAGTGCAAGAGTCATTTCATCAAAGTTAATGAGACAACTGGCTTACTTAGAGCAGGGCCACCCAGAGGATTCAGGGGGCCTGGGGCAAAGCAATTTCGGGGGCCCCTTCCATAAAAAAAAAGTTGCAATACTATAAAATACTATATTCTCGTGGGGGCCCCTGTGGGACCTGAGGCAAATTGCCCCACTTGTAGGGTTACCATATTTCAGCAAGAAAAAAAGAGGACGGGAGGAGCCCCGCCCTA